TGTGTATTTGTTATCCTTTTACAGTAATTTTCAGGGTTATTTTAGATTAAATATCAAAAGCAACTCAGATTGTGAAAAACATCTATGCTCCTGCCTTTGTATGCATGAGTTTGTTTTAACAGAAGGTTCACATCCAACTCAGGGTAACACAAACAACTCAACTTACAGACAACGATCAGGAAGTCTGCTGTAGACAAATCTTAGCAGGAAACTTCCTTGTAATACCAAAAGTTGAGAACAAGTTGTTAAAATATTTAAATAGATACAGAAAACAAAATATCTTCCTACTTAGGACCTGATGAAAAACTGGATGAGTTAGTCTCTGGTGGCTTGTAAAACATGGTTTGTTTGGTGATTCTCAAATTTTATTTACTTGTCTGACTGCAGATTAGAGGTGCAGAAGTTGTGATGCCTAAGCCCATCTTCTCTGGTTCACTCCAGAAGTGTTTTATTATTATTATTTTCATACTCCCAGCCATTTGGGAAAGCTGCATCAACCTGATGGATGGAGCCCAGCAACAACGAGTGGAAAGGCTGGTCGATCCAATCCTTTTTACCTTCAGTAAATTGTTCCTTTATTTACACTCAGCCCACAGAACACATCCAATTTATGAATTTATTTATATCCCACGATTATTATTTTCATAAATAATTCAAGATGGTGAACTTATCTAATATTTCTTCCTCCTCCTATTTTCTCCACAACAACTATTCTGTGAGAAGGGTTGGGTTGAGAGAAAGTGACTGGTTCAAGGTCACCCAGTTGGCTTTCATGCCTAAAGCAGGACTAGAATTCAGTGTCTCCTGGTTTCTAGGCCAGCACCTTCACTATTAGACCAAACTAGCTGTTCAAATGCCTATTATCACATCACCCTGCAGGTCTATGCAAGGGCTCCCAGGAATATATTTGTAAAAAGCAAAACTGGCACCATACTTCTCCCCACCCCCTCCCCAGCAATGTCTATTTTAAAAGATGCATTTAGTCAACTATCTTGTTCCTCCTCTCAGCTTCCTTCTCTTACTTTTGAAATGTGTCATTCCATTACAATAAAAAGCAAAACATAACTCAGAATCCCACAGAAAAAAAAATGTGGGGAAGAGCAGACGGTTTTATTAATGCTAATGGTTTCAGCTCAACTGTATACCTACCTTGGGCTGTATAGTACTTAATCAACACCTTTTCCCCAATGAGTCTGGGGTTGATGACAGTAAATTAAAGCAAAATAAAGCAGCTGGGTCCAAAAACCTGCTAAAATGTGATTGGCTAATCCGTGGCTCCATATGGCAGGAAATGCAAGGTTTGGTGTAGGTGTGTTGTGTGAACCCAGGGATAATTCAGTAACTCCTGCTTCAGTTAAACATGGATTACTTATGCAAACAGCCAGGGAGTGCAACTTCGGAATAGCCTTGCTATTCCATTCCGCTGATGTATGTCTGCAGTAATCAATCATTACAAAGCCAATAACTTTCCTTTTGTTTTATGCATGCACACCTGAACTATTAATCCGTTATAGCTTATTTCAGCAGGACTTCGATTCTCCCCTTTATAGTAGAGTGGCCATATTCTCCTCAATTGTTAATACTTGTATAAAAGAATAGATTTCAGTTAAGTGTCACTTATATGATAAGGGGCATTAGCCAGAACTCCTCCTTTTCTATAGCTGTTAAAAGAGGGGCCCTGCCCATTTTTTTGCATCTGGCTTCCTGGTAAGAATAATCAGGAATGCTGATTATAAAAAGATAAGAACAGAGACAATTTCCAGAGCAGTAGTTCCAGTTGTTGTGTGCTGTCTGCTGTAATTATCCTTTTAGATCCTTTGGAAGAGGAACAACTGCCTGTAGTCCTTGTTTAGCGACTGCCTCTTTTAGCAACCGTTTGAAGTTATAAGAGATGAAAAAGTAATGTTTAAGACCGTTGCTTGCATTTATGACCTTCACACATCTGTAAAGCCAAAGGAAGTTGAAGTAAGATCATTATCACAGTCGTGGTTTCACTTAGTGACCACTTTGCTTAATGACGGAGTTGCTGATGCCAATTGTGGTTGCTAAGCAAGGACTGCTAGTAACAACATTTACCAATGAATTAAAAAAAGATTGATAAATTTCTCTAGGTTGCAACGACACAACAGTGCATCTAACAAATGGACTAAAATGCCTGTTTTCTTTCTTGATATGAGTCTTCAGCATAAGCTCTTTTCGTATGATAGATTGTCCACTAGCCAAACCTTTTGTCATTCAATTGATTTAGGTAGAAGATTGAGCTACTGGATACATTTCTTATTCGCTGGCTGGATCTCTGACATCAGAAGTGCAATATATTACTTGATTGTGCAAAACAGCCATCAATCACCTTTAAGTATAACAAGCTTTTTCCTGTCTACATTGTTTTGAGTGGCTTTCAACTTAGGCTGCCCAGAATTGCTCTAGGTAGGATGATCTGTACGTTTATCAAAACAAATAAGTACAATAAAAATAAATTAAAAATGAACAAACATTATAAAAACAAATAAAACAAACATAAATAAGGAAGGGCTTTCCTTTAGTATTTCCTTTTTCTAAATAATGGCTAGAAATCTTCCATATAATTTCTGAAAAAAGAACATAGGACAAATTTCAGTGATAGGCATCTAAAAGGGAGATAAAGATGCTGTTTCTCAAAATACACTCTTTGTAGAACCCCTCTATTTTGAAACTTGAGAAAATATCCAAGCAGTTTAATTATACTGATTTTATTGTTCTTATTCGGAATTTTAAATGACTGCTGCCTTCTTTTGTTCATCCTATTCTCTTCTTTTCCAAGTAAGTTCCCTTATACATCTAGAGCTGTATTGTTGTATTTCTCATTAAAATCTTCCTCACATACAAAACTCTGCAGTGGGATACCCTTCACGTTCTCAGGATTTTCATGTGGTGTACTAAATTCTGGGTTTGTGTCAGTACATCTCCCCACACCCCAATTTTGGAGTAAGGAGGGGAGAAACCTTGATATAAGGGATTGGGGCTCTCTGGTTGGACAGATTAGTCTAATAATTTTATATTGGAGAACCTTAAAAGCAATGATCTACATGTAAAGCCATCTTCCTTCCAGGTCCATAATAAGCTTGTTAAAGCTTCTGTAGGTGAAAACCCACCTCAACATATGCAATGGATGGCAGGAGAATCTCTGGAATGAATAAACTACCACAGTGATCTTTAGCATTCTTTAGAACAATCAGATCAATCAGATAAGGTAGCATGATAAGAGCAGGGTTCCCATGTAGTGCTGCAGAGCTCAATTTATACAGAGAGGCCTAGCTCAGCGACAGAGCACATGCTTTGCATCTAAATGGTGGGAAAGAATGTTACTGAGCAACATAAAAGTGGGAAAACAACACAAGCCAGCAAATCATGATAGCTTTGGAGCAGAAAGGATGGGACATTATGCAGACTTAATGAGATGAAGCCCTGCTTGGTGCAAAATTGTATTAAATTGTACCAAAAGCTTAAAAAAAGAATATCTAGCTTGGTCTCCTTCCATGAGTGCAGTTTTGTTACCGAGATCCATCTCACAGGCTAATCAGAACCTAGCAACTTAATGAGAAAAAAAGTTTGCTAATTGTCAAAGCCTAAAAATTATTAACAATGCAGAAGGTCCATTCCCTGCAAATCCCAAAGGTCTTCCGGACAAATGTATGGGCCAAAATTCAAACAAAATGGGGCTCCTGCTAATCACACAATAGTCATTGTAATTGTGACCTGTTTTAAAATACAGGTGATCCTCAACATACAACTGTAATGGAACTTGCCCATTGCAGATGGTCATAAAACCAATTTTACCACTTTCTGAGGCAGTTGCTAAGTCAACACCATGGTCATTAAGTGAACCAATGCTTCTCTATAGATGCAATTTTGCCAAAAACAGGAATGGCATAATTGAGGTCACATGACTGCAGGATGCTATAAATGGCCATAAAGGTGGTCATGTTGCTGAACACCCAAAGTTTATGACTGCAGAGGCCGTCTGACTGTTGGAACTTCAAATCTGGGTCATAAGTTGAAGACCACCCATACTGTTATGCTACTGTCATATCTGTGATATGAAAACGTAATTTCAAAACAGCATACACTGCTTCAGAAGGAGTAACTTGTGCTTGAAGACTCGGTCTTTCTACCCACTGGGAAGAACTCTTGAGTCTCCTTGTCTCCCACCTCCAGGGATCCTACCATAGCACCACACTGCCATGATTATGGAAAGGAGACCAAAATCAGAATAGCCAGCAAGTCAGCATCAGCAGTTTTGCAGGCAGTTGAGGTTGTCAACATGACAATCACCAGAAACAAACACACAAGCACATTTGTTTTGTTTGTTTGACTTTTGGTGAAGAGGGGAGGAGGATGAGGTACACAATTATTGGCTTGGAAATAAGCACTGACTGACTGTTCTGATATAAATCTGACATAACTGACCGACATAAATCATTATTTGTGATGATTGTATTTTATAATTAAGATCATGATTATCACTTATCGCTTGCATATAGACTGAGAGCTTATTCGCAGGAGACAAATTCCTTCTATGTCCAATCACAATTGGTAAATAAAGAATTCCTATTCTATTCTATTCTATTCTATTCTATTCTATTCTATTCTATTCTATTCTCCACTCACCACTCCACTCTCCTTTTCCTGTTCTTACTCCGATTCTTATTCTATTATCTTCAGCTATTGGTCAGAAGAGACAAACACTAAATGTTGGGCATTCCTTTGTTCCATACATGTCAATAGGATACCCCTTGATATTAGGTTATACAATTATTGATTGATAATATGAGCTATTATGTAATATAATTATATTTGTGACTAGGAAATGGATGCACAAAAAAAAAGTGGTAAACCAATCGATGCACTGTTTGTAAATTCATGAAGAAGGATGATATTTTTATGTTTTAGGTGGTATGTCTATGTTGTCTTGTTGCTAAAATAATAAAAAAAATTATATAAAAAAAAATAGGATACCCCTGTATGCTTTGAAAATGATTTGAACAAGATGGTTCATGCAAGGGTAAACACTGCACTTCTCCATTACTTATTAAAGCAGCCAGTCTTTTTAAAAGGTTCTCTGCCGGCCATTTTGGATGCTCCCCAAAAGTCAGATTTAATGAATAACACAAAGGTGCTCCATTCATGCTAATGCAAAGTCTGAAGCACTTTTCCAGAATCATTTCTGAAACATGCGCAACCTTAATAAATGTGTCTTTGCTCATAGTAGCCCAATAACCAAACAAAATCTGAAAACAATCAACATGCACTAATCAAGTTCAGGTCCATTTAAAATTGGGTATGCTCAGCGGTGTTGGAAGATGGCGGCACTTAATGATGCTTTAGAATGGCTAAATGTATAATTCATCAAAGTAGAGAAGTACTGAAAATTGCCGGTATGCTTCACAGTTTTCACAGGAAAACATGAATCTCAGCCAGTGCAACTACTTATAACACAGTGTGACAGGGGAAAGAAGGATCTGAGCTTGACTGTTTTCTTGCAGGCGTTTCATTACCCAAACTAGGTAACATCACCAGTGCCAGACCTGATGCAAGGGCAAGCACAGCACTTCTCTATTACTCATTAAAGTGGCCTGCCTTTTTAAAAGTTTCTCTGTCAGAAATTTTGGGTGCTCCTCAAAGCTCAGATTTAATAAATGGTACAAAGGTGTTCCATTCATATATGTGCAAAGTCTGAAGCACTTTTCTAGAATCATTTTCGAAACACAACTCTTTGGATCACAAAGACTGCCCTGGATGAAACTAGATTGTCTGCATTAGTCTGGTTAAAGAAAGTCCTGTTCTTTGATGGATCTGATGAAGTTTGAATCCTATTATTAAAGTCATCTGCTTTGCTTCCAGTTTTCAAGCTTGAATTTCCACTCTTGCTGCTATTTTGCTTGTTTCAGGATATGACTCTAATGCACTAAAGAGCAGGCAGCGCGGTCACCATTTTTATGTTGCTGAACAATGGTGCATAACAGCTTCCAGATGGGTCTCTATTCTGTAATCATCTTGTTTCGTTTATGGAGTTTGAAAGGAAGGCCCCTGCAGATAATACTGTCTCTATTTTTAACTCTTCTCTTATTTTGCTTCTCTCTTTTTTTCTTGGGTGCATCCATATGGAAAATCTATCCAGGAGGAAACAACAGCATACAGTAGTCCTTGTTTAGTGACCATTCACAGTCATGATAGTGATGAAAAAGTAATCTTGCAAGGAATTCTCACATTTACGACTTTTGCAGCTCTGCAAAGCAAAAGAAAATAGACATAAAATCATTAGTGCACTCATGATTCCATTTAGTGACTATTTCACTTAAAGACCAAATTGCTGGTTCTGACTGTGGTTGCTGTATGGGGACTGCCTGTAGTTGCACATATACACTTGGACTAGGAGATGTTAGGAGCCTTCCATCCAGAGGCACGCAGTGTTTACTATTAGTCACACAAGCAAATTGCTCCAGGTTGACTGAGTGGGACAAGTAGAAATCTCTTTGCTTGTTCTCTTAGGATGTTTACCTCACCAAGGAAAATAAAAATTGAACATCACTTGTGTTACTCAGAGATGAGCTTCTATGTAACCTTGGTAGAAGCCGAGGAGCACATACGTACATGTGCAAAAACAAAGTGTACCTCCACATCATCCTTATCAAGCCGGTGTTCTTCTTACCTTGGGAAGAATGATCCTATCTCAGGTGCATTGGGTATGTTTTGCACGCAGAAGCTTGCAAACCATTGCCATCTGTATAAAAAAATTTTAGAGAGCAAATTAAAGGAAATGACTTGACTGAGATCCCAGCAAACAACAGATGGGTCAACGTAGATAATATACTTGGCTAGATCGATAGAAATCAACTTCCTTTGTCTGGAGTCCAATTGATTCTCTTTTGCTGCCAGCAAAGACAAAACCCAGTAACAACAGCAAAACAAAGCTACCTGTTTCTCCATGAGCTCCTGATACCATTCATCCACCAGTGATATTCCTTAGATTTTGGATGATTAAATTTTACAGAATCTCCTCTCCACCATTTTTTATAAAGGGTGAAGGAAATGGAGAATAAGAAAGGTCCTTATTGTGGCTAAAAGCCACAGGAGATGATGGTTTGGGGGAGGGGAGGGGGGAGAGAGAATAATTGCAATAGGCAAAAAGCACTCAAACACCACCATCTTCCTTATTTTAGAGCAAATGGCTTCCAGTCCTACCCCAGGGTTCAATTTTCTTACTGGCTGGAGATATTTCGCTTCTACTGTATACTCTCCCTATCCCCATAATCATGGAAGCTGCTCCTTTCAGAGAGAAGCATTTCCTGGGGCTTTTAGATCACACATTCAAAATGTGCTCTTCAGCAGGAGTGTTGGGGGAGGAGAGAGAGAGAGAGAGAGAGAGAAAGGGAGAGGGAAAGAGAGGGAGGGATTGGAGGTTGCCCTTGTACAAGATCGAAGCCTATGACTCAAATCAGCCTCTGAAGATCTCTCTGTCATTGTCTCTGTACTTATTACCGGAATGGGTAGAGTCCATGAATACTTGTTATTGCTGAACAGCAAGGAGAAAGAAAAGGAAAAAAAAAA